GATGCCAGGAGAAGCCTCTTTAAGAGCACTAAAACAATGGAGGGTGCAGAACTCAGATTTAAACTGTACTTGCCCTGAGTCCTACACTATTTGAGGTTCGTGCTTAATTGACCAGTCTATACCTAGCACCAGAGGGTATTGTAAATCTTTTACTAACAAGAACTCAGCCTGTTCCTGATACTTACCAATTTTCAGTGACAGTGGCAAAGACTGGTGTGAAGATATCCCCCCCCCCCCCATCACGGCTTCCTCTGAATCGAATCCCCTGGAAGAGGAGACAGCAACAGTGAAGTTGGAAAGGAGTGTTTTTCAGCAAAGTTCTCATCCATAAAAGAAGCAGTGGCGCCACTATCCATCAAGGCTGTTGTTCGTATTTCTGGTTGTTGAGGTGCCTGTAAAGTAACATTGATCAATAAATGTTGAGCTGAAGTAGATCCTCGAGGAGTGGGGCACCGCTGGTCTTTTGGCATTGGTCCCAGCGTCACAGTGCTTAACATAACAATGCTGGGACTGGAAGTTTCCTGCAGGCTTGTTCCACGGGCAGGAGTGAGCCAGGTGTCCCCCTTGCCCACAAGTAAAACATAGTCCAGTGGCTCAGCGATGATCCATTTCACTCCTTGGGATGCATGGTTTGGCGGCTTCCAGCTGCATAGGCTCCAGCTCAGTCTGGTCTGGTGCCTCAGCAGCATAGTCAGGTGAAGGCCTTCAGGGTCCAGTCAGAGCCCACAGTAAAAATCTCTCTCCATATAGCAACAGGTTGGAGCACCTGCCCCGTCTTTCTTTCGCCCACTCTACGAGCCGCGCGTCAATCTGAATGGCCACGAGCATTAGCTTTTGCAGACTTTCCGGGGGGAAGATTGGGCCAGTACATCCAAAATCTCTCCCCGAAGTCTTTCTCGATACTGTACCATCAAGACCTCCTCATTCTACCCAAGATCATTCACCAAAAGCTGAAACTGGGTCGTGTAATCAGCAGCTGACCCTGTTCCCTGTCACAGGTGTTTAACTTCGTGCACTGCCATTTCCTTGTGCACTCCCATGCCCAGAAAAAGTCCCAAGGCATTTAGAAAAGCTGCAGCATCATTTAGAACGGGGTCTTGAGCCACCAACCTCGCAGTTGCCCACCGTGCAGCTGCCCCCAAAAACTGATTGATTAAGAAGCCTACCTTGGTCTTTTCATCTGGGAAGTCATTGCATTGTGTATAACTCACATTGAGCTCGAAAAGTTGTAAAACCTCTCTTTCTGTCGTACTTGGGAAGAGGTTCTACTGGACACTGCTTCAGCTTGAGTTCAGAAGTCTGGGGGGGTGTTGCCGCTGCTCCAGTTGCTGCTGCTTGGAGCGTAGCATTCTCGGCACGCAAATGGTTAATCTCCTCATTCACCGCAGCAGCTTCCGCAGCAGTCTGCATTGCAATTTTTTCAGCCCTCAAAAGAATAATCTCATCTTGTAAATCTTTGATCTCCACAGCCGCAGCTTGAGCTGCCGGGTCCATCTCTGTGCTGCACCAAAAAATCTGTGTCCAGCTGTGTGAGATGTGATGCCCTTGTGAGTGGGGGGAGGGGGCATTGGAAGAAAGGGGGGACAAGCTGAGGTTGGAGATGCTCTTCCCACACACTCACACAGGAACCAGCAATTGGAACTTTAAATCCTTTATTCTAAGAAACTTCAAAGCTACACAGACAAGGAACAACAAAAGAGCTTACTATGGTGATGTTAATGGCAAAGTCGTCCTCTTTCTGAGAGGGCTCAGATTACGAAACACTTTTGACCCATCTGGGATGTCCCTCTTTTGGCAGTTCTGACAAGCTTCTCTCCCTCCTTTCTATTTCCCTCAACTCCAGTTGCCCCAAACAGCATGCTCTTCTTCTATCTCAGGCATGAGGTACACTTTCTGTTGTTTCCACGGAAACCATTTGTTTCCCAGGGTCATTATCTCTGGCTTGGCCTGCTGTTTCCACAGTAAACTCACCTCCCTCTGCCCCCATCCCGCTATCAGCTACTTCTGGAATGCTGCTGCGTTCCTGCTCTTGTTGTGTTAGTAACACTTCGTCAGGGAGTGTGTGTGGGGGGGTGGGCATTTGTACAATGGGCACCAGGTAGAAATCTTCCTGCTCTGGGGCTTGATTCTCACAGGAAACCCCCTGCTCTCTCACGTGCACCAACGACTCCCCTTGAGTTGGCACGCACGACAGATGAGCCTCTGCTGGTGGACCAGTTGACACAATCTCAGCAGGGGAACAACCTTCACTTCCCTGGATTCTATCCTGACAATTACCACAGATGCCTCCCTTTCCAGCTGGGAGCACACTGTGCCCCTCTTCAATTCAGGGCAGCTGGGACATCCACACCATTTCTAGGCACATCAATTTACCTGGAGATACTTGTGGTGCAAAAGGACCTCATATTCCAGAACCTCATCCCAGGTCTTTTACAAGTCCAGGACCAAACCCTTCCGCAACTCACTGTGATTCTGTATTTGCTATGGTGGTGTACGTTTTGTAAACTGCCCAGAGAGCTATTTGGCAGTATATAAGTGTAATAAATAAAATAAGGGACTTAACATCTCTGCAAAGAATGGCAAGATGGGTTGTGAATACAATTTCTGTAGCCTACAAGCTAAGCAGACTCCAGCCCTTGGGTGAATACATGCTGACTCCATGTGCACAGCAGCAACTTCCATAGCCCTTGCCTAACCTTTTCAAGGCTGCAACCAGGTTGAACCTTTCATCCTTTGTGAAACACTACTGCTTTGACATCCAAGAGTCTTGTCATCAGTTCTTTGGTAGCAACCTCACCAACCTCTGTAAGCTTATCAGTTGCATCATATGTGTGACCTGTTGTTCTTCAAGTAGTCATGCATTCGCACAAACCTGTCCTCCTTTCCCTCTTTGGTATCACACTAGGGTGGCTCAGTTGCCCTCTCTGGATTCACATGGACCTCTGGAGACCTGTTCCACTGGACATGGAGCCACAACAGCAGTCTCATGGCTATTCAAACTGAGGATCAGGCAGGAGCCCCCATCATGCCAGGGCATTCCCCAGGGGTGGGGGTCTTGCCAAATAGAAATAATTAGCTATGGAATCTTCTTGAACAAACTCCATGCAAGTGTGCAGAGCCCTGTGTGTGAATGCATGGATGACCACTCGAAGAATGACAAAGTAAACAACCTGCCTTTTTGCTTACTGGAGAGCTGGAATTGACTGCAATCTCCAAAGTATATATTGAGGAACATTGTATTGCTATGTTAGGATGGGTAGAGAGGCCCCACTTGTTTTTGAACATTGCGAACCAGTACTGTGAGTATAAACAGCAGCTTATCACCCACAGCTTTAATGTGGTGATTAGGGTTCTTTATCTTTACTGCCTATGACATTTGCACAGAATTTGGCGGTAAGAGAGTCATTTTTTGTTATTGTCATGAGCCTTATGCTTATGAAAGCTGCAAGAAAGGAAAGATGCCATTCAAAGGTTTTCCCAGAAGTCATGCATATGCTTCTGTCATGCATTTGCTGAAGCTGTACTGGAGAATATTAAGGTTCTTGTAAGGAACAAAATCTTGTGGCACAGAATTCATTGTTTAAAACAATTATGAAATTGAAAATAATATTGGTGAATCAGTTCAGTTGCTAAATGTCATGGAAGTTCCCTTATTACAATTACTAATTTCTACTGGTAACAGTTTTAAAATTTCAGTAAAAGTTTTACTGTCTTACAGTAGCCATGTCTTCCCTAAGAATGTTAATATTTGTAATACCAAGTTAAGGTCTAAACTGAAATCATGTGCTACAACTTAAACTGTACGGGTATGAGAAGGAAGTAGAATCAAATCTTAGCTGCTCAGCTAAATTAGTAATAAAACTGTAAAACTGCAAATATTTGGTAACCATACTGCACTATTTGCAAAGACAATTACATAGAAGATGATGACTAGTTAAAAAAAATATGTTCCAGACTTTTTGCATATATACAGCATCTTGCTTAATGCTTCCCACCAACACCATTTGCAATTTCCAAAATAATCTATTTTAAGAGATTTGGAACACTTTGTTTGCTTGCCCATGCATGCCAAGGGTCTGTTTTTGATAAAGAAGGCATCTTTTAGCCTAATTGTAATTGCAGCCAGTTCAGTCTACAAATATTCAAACCTTGTTTTTTGTCCATAGTGTATATCACATGAGTACAAATAAGTCTTATGAAAAGAAATAAAGTAATTAGCATATGGTATTGGAAGGAGTTAGGATGAGATATTGCCACTGTGGGAAGATTGAGAGAAACTGGTAACAGTGTCAGTTAGTTGAAAGAGGTAGGTAGATGTAACATAAATTCCTTTTCTTTTGTAATCCTTTTCATTGGCTGGATTCCCCCTGACTGGTTTGAGTTTTGTTCACCTGAGTCATAAATGGTTTTAGTTGGGTATTGTTTGGGTGTGATCTTTTTGGCTTTTACTTTTTCTCAGTTTGGATCTCTGCAAGGTGGAGTGTGAACTATTTTGGGGGCATCGCTCCCATATTTTCAAGGAAATTATAACTTCCATCTGTTTTTACTTGACTTGTGGCTGTGAAGATCATGCTTAGCCCATGGGATCTTACAGTGTGTGCTGAGAAAGATGTGGAGTTTTGTCAGCCAGTGAAGTATGTCTGGCTCTCCCCACACCCACCCATGTTTCTCATAGGCCTTTCATCTTGTGTGGTCTCTCTGAACTGGATACATTTAACAGTACTATTCACCTTCCTTGTCAGTTACTTGTCTTTTAAATTTGAGCTTTGCATGAAGAACCTGAAAACTGAACCAGTAATTCTTGTTCCCAGAATATAAGACTATTACTAGCATTTATCTTAGAAAGAGTATATATTTAAATTCTGGGGTATCAGATTCTGTTTGCATGCACATCTCACTGAATATTAAGTGTAATAGGAAAAAATCTTATTTATTAGCCTGTTTTTTTCTCTGAATATTCCTTGTCCATTGATGCCAGTCTGCTGTATTCCTTGTTTTAGGCTTTACTGCAGACTGTAGTTCAGCAACGTGAGGAAGTTATTGAAAAACAGTATATATCAGCAATTGAAAAGCAGGCACGTAAGTGTGAAGAAATGCTTGTTGCACAGGTAAGTGCTGTAATTCTTCACAAAAGTTTAGTTAAATATATCTATATGTACTACTCCCCTTCATGGAACACTGCCTTGTCATGGCAAAGGGGCTTGCGTAGCTCAATGAAACGATGAGCTATGCCGTGCAGGGCCACCCAAGACGGACAGGTCATAGCAGAGAGCTCTGACAAAAGCTGATCCACTGGAGAAGGAAATGGCAACCCACTCCAGTATCTTTGCCATGAAAATCCCATGGACAGTACCAAAAGGCAAAAAGATATGACACCAGAAGGTGAGCCCCTCAGGTCGGAAGGTGTCCAATATGCTACTGGGGAAGAGCAGAGGGCTAGTATTAGTAGTGCCAGAAAGAATGAAGTGACTGGGTCAAAGCCAAAGAACTCCTATAATTGACAGTGTGCATTCCTTACCACATAGTGAACCAGTTGCATTCTTTCAGCTACTGTTGCAGAAAGTGGCTAGCAATAAGGCAGTCCTAGAGAGCAAACCCTAGTTTTTCAGTGTAGGGCTGGTTAATGTATCACACTTGCGTATTAAGGAGATCTCTAAGGACGATTGCTTTTTGGAGATCTGGTTTCCATTTATCTTCTATGGGAGCAAGCAAATAATTGAGCACAAAGTCCTGACAACCTACAATTCATTCTACTCGTAGAATGATGTTGTAGAATGCTGGAAAAACACTGTTTCTGTCTGTGTGCTTGACTCTCTGTAAATTGTTATTGATCTTGTACTTACACAATAGCTAGCAAACGGTATTGCCATGAACAAAATGAAACAAAACCCTTTGGGCCTACAAGGCCTTGATAAGAAATTGGAATTTACTGATGTACTGTAATTGAAGTGTTTTACTTTGGTGACACACTCCTGGTTTTTCTCTCTGGTCGGGTAATCCAGGACAATCCCTGACTTCTATATCTATGGAGGATATTTACCTCCTCTAGGCATCACTACCTCCCAACAGCCACACAGGAATCTATATAAGCCGGCAAAAGAAGCAGGCCTAACATGATAAGTGCTATGTGATCAGGGAATACATGCAGTTGTCTCTTCACAGAGTTACAGTTACTGTTAGTAAGCTATATTCTGAATGGAATCCACCAGACAGAAAGAATATGGGCAATGGCAACTATTGCCCTTTGCTGTCGAGCGCTATCAGGACTCCAAGTGGGAATATCAGAGCTATATGGACAGGCAAGAGAGAGCTTTTTGAAGAAATGACTGTCGAAATATATAACCTTTCCTGATGCTGCAAGCTCAAAACTACTTCTGAGCAGTCTCTGTAAAAATTAATGTAGATGTGGCAAACTGTTGTCATAATGTGCTTTTATATTCTTACATTATGGCACATGGCCTATGGTCTATTAAACCAAGTACACTTGAACTGGAAACTTGGATCTACATGGGTCAACCCTGCAGTGGTAACTTGTTTTTCAATCCTGACTTCTGGCTCTGTTCTGCCTCCTTGTGTGCTATTGGGTCCTGACTCTTGGCTTTTTCCTGAGCCTGCAGGTCCTTTGCATCCTCTTCACATAGCCCTATTAGCATATGTAGTACATCACAAATCTCCATCCCTTCTCAGTTCAAGGAAGCATTTGGAATTTTGAAAAAAAAAATGTCCTGGGCTATGTGTGATCAGGGAACGTACTTGTATGTGTGCTTTCTCTTTTTCTCTTGCTGTCCTGCTCATTTACACACATACCCACTTGCTTACCTGCTTATTTTCTGGTACTTGCCCACTCAGGTATTCTGTCTGGCTCTCAATTAATTGTAAGACTGCAGTTTAAGGTGCCCTATTTGTTTTGATCTTGAAAAATAAAAATTCAGGATCAGTAATGGTTTTCTCCTTTTTTAAGCCAAAGACAATTAAAGTTGTCCATATTTCATAGACCAGCAATTTGAAATGCCTTTCTTGTAGGTTAAAGGAAAGAGACAGAAGGTTAAAGGAAATGGTGTTATCAATAATTGATCATTTTACTACCTAGTCAACAAAAATGAGAAACTTGAATCTGTTTATTTAATTTTATTTAACATATTAAATAAAATATGTATTTTTTTAAAAAAAATCTCATCGAGAACCTTTAAGGCTAGAAGAAAGTAACATGCTGTGAGGAAATCTCATATATCATTAAAGAAGGAAGAAGATGTTATAAAAATTAAGTACCTTTGGGTTGCCCTGATCTGGCTAAAGTTACTTGTGACTAAGTTCTGACTTGTACTCAGATGGTTCAGTGGGGCATATTTACGACTAACTTATGCTGCATTAGAATTGATGAAATTCATCACATAACCTTTATATTCAAGAATATCAAAAGAGTACTATTTAAACCAATGTACTTTTAAAAATACTGATTTTAATACAAAGCCATTTTCTTCCCCTCCCCCCACAGAAAGCAGTAGCAAGCAGGAGAACTTGTCTTATACAAATATTTGCAAATGGTAGAACATGCAGTTCACAATGGTAAAATTGTGCAGTCAGTAGGAAAAATGTGCAAATGGTTGTACAATTTTCCCACTCAGCTGGTTAAAACCATCAAGCTGACATTCAGAGATTCTGGGAAAATACAAACATCACCCATTCATCCATGCCTACTGCTACCTAAATAAGTCAGTGTTCCTGTAAAACATAGCTGAGTGAATTGCTTTGCACCAGGAATGGCTTTTGATGCATTTTTCCTTTCCAATTCACCCAGTACAGATGTGCCATGAACCTCCACACTTCTAGTCATACTTTCATACTAGCAGTTTTTTGCCTTTTACTTTCACTGCTAATCCTTGTTCTTCTTCATGGTCTCTGTGCATCACACATTATGGGTGCTGCACCTGCGCAGTGCCTGTAGCCAGGTAGAATACAAAAGCTTTAACGGATTTTGGCGGGGACTCCGCACCCCTCCCCTGCGGTGCTATAAAGGGCGGAGTGCCTGCCATTTTCCCCAGTCATCTTTCAACCGCGGATGCTTTGCCTTGAGCCATTCGTTATTTTCCATTACATTCTCTTGCTCTTTTTCTAACTGCTGTCTCTCTTGTTTCTCTAGTTAAGAAAATTCTTTTCCAAGTTTTTCACATCCTTACTTTCCCTAGTTAGACAGCCATTTTTCTTCCCCCCATCCCAAAAAAAATTTATACTCCTTACCTTTTTGTTATCCTTTTCACTTTGCTACTGCTTTTCGATATCCACTCTTCTCGATGGCTCAGTTCGCAGCCTTTCGAAAGTGCTCTAGGTGTGGGGCCAAAATGTCTCTGACTGACCCACACGAGCTTTGCCGCCTATGCTTGGGAGAAGGACATTGCACTGACAAATGTGGCCATTGTCAGTTGTTCACCAAGCAAGCCCAAAAAAGTCTGGAGAACCAGCTGAGGAAGATCCTTTGGGATCAGACCCTCATAGCCTCGGACGAGCTTGCTGCTCAGGCCGTTCCACCATCCAAGGGAGCTGCTTTCAGGGAGAGCACTTGCTCCTCCCATTCCTCCTCTTTGAAACAAAAGGAGAAACGGAAGCATACCGGGCAAGGAGATCCGTTGGTCCCGAAGAAAGCTAAAAAGGCCAAGACCTACAAGGCCGGCCACAAGTAATGTAGGCTTGCCCAGGAGCCTCGCATGGACTCAGATTCAATGGCACCATCGATCCCGACAGCTGCTTCAGCACCCACACCTTCGGTCCCGGCACCACAGGCTGTAATGCAGGTCACACCACCTGGATCCCCCCAGTGGATCTCTCTACTGGCTCCTACGGCTTTGGATCCCTCTGAGGCCATGCTCCATGGATCAATATCCAAAGGGGAAATTCGGGATTCACCACCCCAGTCTCTACCGAGCCATCAGTCGACTTGATCGCCAACTCCAATGCCATCATTGCCAGAGACATCTCCAAGGCTGCCGCCTCCATCCAACCTGCGTCGCCACCAGCACGTCTCGGGGCAATCTGCCAGGAGCTGGGTCCCGATGCCGTATGACAGATTCGAGCCACTTCGGTCCCATCACTGGGACTACCAGCCACTGTATGGCTACTATCCTTTGCCGCCAGAACGTGGACACCGATCCCAGCCCGCCTGGATGGAAGCACCCTCTACCTCAGCAGCCGCAACTTTCCGCTCTCCTCCATCTCCAGTCAACTCATCATCTAGTCCGCCATACCATTACGATTCGGACTCTGAGGACTCGGACCAGCTCTCTACATCTCCAGATGCCGTCATCTCGACCCAGGGACCCGGGTCACCAGAAGAGTCCTACGCCACCTTCGAGGAGCTCATGGCTTGACTTATGTGGTCATTGGAGTTTGAAGTAGAACACCAGGCAAACACCAGGGATGACCACTTCTACAACATCGTTCATAAGGAACAGTCATCAGCCATCTCCATTCCACTCATAACGACTCTTCGCCAGGCTGTGACGGACACCTGGGAGTTTCTGAGTCAGCCGCATCTGATGTCCCAGAGATACGAGTCAATGTACAAGGTTAGGGAGCAGGACATCCCATTCCTGCTGAAGCACCCAAAACCTAACTCAACTGTGGTCGTGTCATCCCAGGGTCAAGATAACAGGGAGCACTTGACCCAGAGAGACAAAGAGAGCCAGAAGATAGATCTGATGGCTCGCCACATTTATGCGGCTATGGGACTAGGCCTCCAGATATCAAACTACGAGATGACAATGGCCAGGTATCAGTACTTTCTGATGCAATGGCTGGAATCCATCACCTCCACTATTCCAGACCAACAGCATGACCTGGCCCACGTTTTTATCCATGAGGCTATGCAACTAGCCATCCAACAGCTCAGTACAGCACACCATCACGTAGATTGCGACTCCTGAGCTCTCGTCGGATCCATCGCCTTGTGTCAGCACATGTGGCTATGCTCCTACAACTTCCCCGACGAGAATAAGAGGCATATTGAAGGCATGCCTTTTGATGGTTTCAGCCTCTTCCATGACTGCATGGATCATAAGCTCAAGAACATTACAGTGCTAGAGCCACTGCCTGGAAGATGGAAATACCGCATTCC